GAGAGACATTCTGCTTGTACATTCAGAGAATATCTCCAGAGTGATACTCAAAGAACTTGATAACTTTGATTGCCTCTAAGGAGAAGAACTGAGGAACAGAAGTGAGAGGGACACTGCATTAGGTACTTTCTTTTATCTTTTGAATTGTGCAACTTAAGAATGTATAACTAATTCACATAAATAAATTCATAAAAACTTTACATGCAAACCCAAGGATAAAGAAATAGAAGCACCTACAATTCTTGAATGAATTCTTAACTTTCTATAAATTATATAAGATAGGCCAAACTTTTACTTATATAGCAGTAGATGGACATTGAAATTTTCCTCCAAACAACTGAAAAAATTACCGTATTTTTCATTAATCAAAAAAGGTAGAGATATGAACAATATTAGCTTCAACACATTTTCCTTGTGCCCTTTGGTGGGATCTAATTTTAGCAAGAGCCATTTAACATATATAATTACTAAATGTATATACAGAAAAGTAGAAAATTAGCTTTCATATCACAGTCTCAAAAATGATTAATGTAATCTAATTTAGTTAGTTTTCTTATCAAGAAGAAAAACAACTCCATAAATAACCATCTCATTATAAGAATTCAAATGTTATTTTATGGAGGAATGAATAAATTAAATTTCTTATAGCAAATTGCTTATTATTGTATAGTCTGGTATAAGATAAACTATGTTGTGATAAATACAAAAATGTCACTAACTACAATCATAAATTTTTGATTCTCAAATGCAAAATGTGTTCCAGTTCCAAAATTCTAAAATTCTAAAAAAAATATGGTTATATGAAAAATAATGATGAAAAATAAATTAGAGTTTAAAATGAATAAAGACACATAAGGAAACACTATGGAGATGTATTTAGAAGGAAGATCAAGGCATAATGAGTTCAGATATGACTGTAGTCAACTCTTCTACCTTAATGTCCATGTTCTCCTGAAATGTTAACAATAAATAGATCCCTAGCATTAATTTAATGAAATGTAAAACGTTTATTTACTCAAATAGTAACTTAGCTGAAGTCATACCCAGTGATGTTCCAATAAAAAATGTTACATAATCTTTTTGAAAATTCTTATTTAATACTATCAGCAGGAAATGCCTTTTAAATGTGTATAAGTTTATACTTATATTTAAATAAGTAAAAATATATATACATACATACATATTTAATAAGTTATACATGGACTCCATTGACCAAATAAAAGAGCACAGTAAAAGGAGAAAAAGTATTTTGACCAAATTTGAATATTGGTAGCTTGTACCATAATATATTCATCAAATAAAATTTAATGTTACCATAATAATCTTTTGAAAACTTCTGAAATGTCTATGTACCTTGAAAACTGAAACATTTTACAATGCATAGCAAAAATGAAATACTAAAACATGTTTATGTAAAATATTTTTTCACTTAAGGTTATAAAACTAAAGTAAATCATATGCTCAAATAAAAATTCTCCATTAATGTAAATAAAGATCCTTCTATTATAAGAAAGATGGTTTTATATTGACTATTAGACTAGGTAACAAAATATTTCAAGTGCTGATCATTTATTTTTCTTAGTAGTGGCTTCAATTTTAAATCATCTCTTTTTACTGATTTATCCTGAGAAGTTGGTTTGCACATTGGAGTAAACCTCTTTGTGGCAGAAAGTTATTCCTAATAAATTTAGGGCTTCCCTGGTGGCGCAGTGCTTGAGAGTCCGCCTGCCGATGCGGGAGACGAGGGTTCGTGCCCCGTTTCGGGAGGGTCCCGCGTGCCGCGGAGCGGCTGGGCCCGTGAGCCATGGCCGCTGGGCCTGCGCGTCCGGAGCCTGTGCTCCGCAAATGGGAGAGGCCGCAACAGTGAGAGGCCCGCATAACGCAAGGAAAAAAAAAAAAAAAAAAAAAAAAATTTAAGTGAAAGTATTTCTATATAGACAGAGGTCAAATGTAAGAGACAGCAAAGGCAATTATTCTGGGAACCAGAGCAGGAAACCTTGGTAACCAGAAACCGCATAAAGGTATTAGGTTTGTGCTGTTCCCGAGCCCTCAAATTTAACTAGTTTCACATCAACTGAGTTGACTGACTATACATTCCACTTATTACAGGCTCTTAAGGCACAGCCCAATTGACTACTACTGTCAGGAATTCTGGCAATAGTAGAGGCTACTCCTACCCAGTTAGCTGCATCAGGCATGCTATGGGTGATAGGCTGAATACTAAAGAACAGTCAGAAAAACTGAATTTATATGGCACAGTCTGGCTCAACGTTTGGAAAGAAATGGCTTGCATCTCGACTAACAGGTTCTTAGAGACTGTGCTCATAGACATTCTTTCTATGGTTCTACAGTGAATGAAAAAGGTACATGAAAATAAGCAAATCTCTTTTAATGACACGGCACCTAGCAAAAAATCTAGAGTTTCAGGAGTCTAAACAACTATAATACATAGCACAAATTTTCTAGCATTTGGCAAGAGGAGGATGGGAGGAAATCTTAAATAGGTGTCATAGCACTTAAACTTTGTTAACTTTACTATAGGAACAGATGTGAAACTGTGTACAGAATCACCACCTCACGGTGAATGAAGCAGATGAAGATCTTCAGCACGATTGAGGGGGGATCTAAATCAAATATAAACTGTGGTAATAAATGTAAGGTAATAATTACTAGCAGATGTATATTTAGATAATATGTATCTATCATATGTCACTATCATGTGCTTTGATGAGGACACCTCATGATTTTTCCACGCAAAAGTTCTCTCTTTATTTAACTTTTAAACTCCTTTTGCTAAAAAGGAAATTTTCTTGTAAAAATGAAAACAAAAAACCATCCTTAACAGAACCTTAAATATTAATGCCTTTTTAAAAGGGTGAATTAATATGTGCAACTGACACTTAGGAATTGATTTTTTAAAAATAGTTTTCCCACTATTCTCAGCTGTTATAAGTCAGTTATTTTGTGTTAATTTACCAATTAATATAATAAAAATTGCACCAAATTTGTGTAATGGATAACTTAAGGAGTCATGTCATTTTTCACACTCTTTACAGAAAAACAAACAAAAAAATCAAGCTATAAAATTCATCCTGCTAATGTTTGTACCTATATATACATGACCTGGAATAATCAATTTAGTTAACTCAGTGATAGCACTAGTAAATTTAGTAAACCCATATCTATCTAGTTCATGAGGATGTTTAACAGATAACTAAAATTCAGTGTGAAGGCAAGTATCAGTGCCTGGGGAAGGTGAAGCAGGAGAGGGGTGGGGATGGAGCGCTGGTAAGCCAGCATGAGAGAGGGTATATGAAAGGAAAGTGGAAAAGGACTCTTCCTCCCCATTTTTTCCGGTTTTCCTAAGGCCTTGGTAAGTGGCAAGTACTTCCCTTTCCACTGAAAATCACATTCTGGATGGCCTGTATCAGGAGCATTATACAGTACTGGTACCTAATCTACCCCTTTTCCTTTTATGGTAGAGATACAGTTATTTTACATCTAGAACATTTTACAATTTGTTGGTAAATATTATGATTTTAAAGCTGAGAGGATATCAGGAAATCATTTAGTCTAACTAACCACTTATTTTATTGACAGGGGAACTGAGGTCCAGAGAAGCTATGATTTAGTTTCTAATCTACATAAATATACTGCTGTGACTAAAAGGTTTAGAAATGCTGTATTTAGTGTTATCAAAGGCAAGAGAGAAATGGGCATTAGAAATGCTTCAAAAATACAAAGAAAAAATGACAAAAAAAGAACTCTCCAGTTAGAACGGTTAGTTATCTGTTCTGATGTTACCAGAAAATAGTGAATTAAAAATAAAGGGCTTAAAAAAATGGATTAGGGAAAAGATACTAAATGATGAAAGTATGAACACATGCAATCATTACAAACAGCAAAAAGTATATACAAAATACTTACCAAGTACCTATTATATCATGAAGAAAATCCACAAAATGAAAAATGTAAAGCCTCTCATATAATTATTTTCTACCCAATTTGTTTCTATTTCATTATAAGAACAAACTATATGGTAGGATTATGGAAAAGGGGTACATGCACTTAATTCAAATCCCCAGGCCCCTTTTATATGAAACATCTAGAAAATCAATTCCATTTCTACTTTAGCGAGGTGGTTCTAAATGATTATTCTGCCTATGCTTAGTTGAGGTAAAAATGTAAAGGCCAGGTTACAGAGTTTGAGGATATCAAATTCCGCATAGGTTCTTATTACTATTTCTATTACAGCATTTTAGCACACTAAGATATCTTGTGTCAAAATAAATATATTTATTAAATATTAAAAATTTGGAAACTCAAATATGCAGTTGTGCTCCTAAGATATTATTTGCTCATACCTATGATCAGAGCCAATATAAATGTTTTTCATTGGAATCACCTAGATCAGTGCTTCCCAAAGTGTCCCTCTGGTAGAATGCAAAATGACTTTACATATGGCATATGGGTAAACATTTTTAATTTTACTATTTAAGTACGGATTTTAACATATATTAGAAAAAATTACACACTAAAACTGCACAACACATTGTTGCCCCAGCCCAGTGTTTTGGATTTTTTCTCTCTAAAGAGAAAAATGTACAATAGAGGCTATCAAGAACCTAAATTAAACAAATAAAAACTCAAATACTTACTGTCGCTGGGGAAGCCCGAGTGGTATGTGTCACTGAGTGACCAGAATTCTCCATTGAATTGCCAATCAGATAGGTTCCTCCAGAGCTGCTGATGAGTTGTCCTCCCGTGACGCCCATCTGAATCCCACCAGTGCCCACCATACTGTGGGATGAGACCACGGTAGTCACCTGTGCAGAACTCCCTTGAGTATCAAAGTAATTCCCTCCAGTGTTTTGGCTGTACATCTGCGTTTCTGTGTAAGGATAAGTTGTTGTTCGGCTTTAGAAGAGGAAGAAAAAAGAAAGAAATTTATTTATATCATCTTATTTCTTTCTTTCTAGTGTGAATATATGTTTAAAATATATCAGCTTAGCCTTGGGAACATGGTGAGTTTTTGTATTTTATATGAAACTTCATTCCCAGAAATAGTTGGGTTTACTTTCCAAACTAAAGGTACATTTCTTTTTTTTTTTTTTTTTTTTTTCGGTACGCGGTCTTCTTACTGCTGTGGCTTCTCCCGTTGTGGAGCACAGGCTCCGGACGCGCAGGCTCAGCGGCCATGGCTCACAGGCCCAGGTGCTCTGCGGCATGTGGGATCTTCCCAGACCAGGACTCGAACCCATGTTCTGTGCATTAGCAGGCAGATTCTCAACCACTGCGCCACCAGGGAAGCCCACAGCCTTCTTATAAAAAATCATA